AAATTTATTTAAAAATTAAATACAGTATCTGAGATCTAAAATACAAAGAACCTAACCCCGGAGCATCGCCCGGGCCTGAGAGCTAGTAATGTATAAACTATTTTGATTATAAATCGTCATGATAAATTATAAATTACAATAATGGTTTCCTAGGCTTAATTTTAATTTTTAGCTCTAGACAATTAGTAAGAAACCCGTTTTGCGTTTTCAATGGGGCTTCCTTATTCATTAATTCTACATCATACTTTTTGAACATCAATGTCATAAAAGATAATATATTAATCATTGCTAATTTTCTTCCAGGACAAATTCTTATGCCACCACCAAACATAACTAATGAATATTTATCTCTTCCCTGAATAAACTTTCTATTTTCATTATCAAAATTGTTTAAATCATCATCATTAAGTTCACTCAAATCGTTTTTTAAATAAAACCTGTCCGGATCAAAGATAGTAGGATTATCCCAATATTTCTCATTCATATGAATACTAGCAAAATTTAAGTGAAATGTAGTTTTAGCAGGCCATGTGTACCCAGCAACTTCGCATTCAGCACTTGCAACTCTTTGTGACACGGGTAACACTGGCATCATACGAAAAGTTTCTTTAACTATTGATTCACAATACTTGAGCTTTTCAAGATGTTCAAAGGTTATTGATAATGTGTCAGAATTATTAGGAAAAACTGAATCAATTTCATCAAACAATTTTTGTTTTACATGTGTATTATGACAAATATAGTAAATCATAAAACATAACATATTTGAAGACTGTAGAAAAAAAGATAGGTATACAAATTAATATACGGGCAATATTAGATAAATATAATTTAATTGAAATATTAAACCTACTGTATCAGATCCTGCAAGAAAAACGTCAAATATAAGTGCTCTAATATCTTCATCACTTAAAGACTCTGTCATATTACTCTTTGCATTATAATTTGCAGTAATGAGATTAGTTAACAGATCATGCTTTGACTTTAATTTCTGAGGAGTATTTTTAAAATCAAGTTTTCTCCTTTCAATCATATCATCCATTGTATTTAATAAATAATCTCTACTTTCTAGAATTTTATTTACTTTTATCCTAAAAAATGGCACGTATCGTCTCAACAACGGATGAACAACATGAAAAATTACTGCTCCTCTCATATAAGTTACAAGCGCTTGAGTGAATTTATCAGAATTATATGGTTTAGAATCATCAAAAGAAGAACTTGCAAGTTCGGATTTATCAGATTTATCGGAGTTGAACGTATTATAATAAGATGCCATAGAGCAACCTCGCTCACCAGTTATTATAATTGAAATATTATCAGTCATAAACCTATTTGCCCATGATAAAAAGTCTATTTCAAGCCTATCATCATTATTATCATCATTAGATGATTTAAATTTTTTAAGCAAATTCCAATATCCATCCAACTCTTCAAATAATTCAATAATATATTTTATAGAATCATTATTGAAACCAGGAGTTGAAATTGATTGTAAAAGAAAGTACTTATTAACCTTCCAAGTATCGTAATCATTATTTAAAAACATTCCTCGTCCATAATTTTTCAATAAATTCATATCAGGTGAATAATCATGTTTTGTAAATAATGCTAAATTCTTTGAATTTGATAATAAATTCTCAAAATAATCTGTTTTAGTGAGAACTATTCTTCTGGAACCACCCAATCTGAATTCACAGATATCCCCATATTTTTTATACAGGTCTGCAGCAAGGTCTTTGAAGTTACCATCAAAAAATACGTTCTGTTAATGTAAAAAAAATTAATTGCTAAAGCATATTTAATTATATATATATAATTATACAGTAATTATACCTCTAGTCCAAATAGTAAAGGTAGAGGACCAGGAAGTGGATTTGGACGGGTGTGATAATTATAGTAAAAACGAAAAAGGTATGTAATGAGTATTAAGAATATAATGGTTAGATAGTCAGCAGTATTAAATAATTCGATAATTCGAAAAGACATTTTGCTCCTGGTTACATATGTATGTACATATTTACAATATCAAAAATTCGTATCATTTATAATGGTTTATCGTATTACCCTTGTGAAATTTTTTTTTAGGTATACGTTTTACACATTAAACATTTCTTATATTAAATAGGTGACCATGTTTACGTAACTATTTACAGTAGTAACGTGTTTGCAATATTATGTATTCAAATAGAAAGTTCCAAGAGTATTTACTAGAATAAATGCTTTCTAATTAAGATTAAGATATTTAACCAGGCCACATTTTATTGGTGAAAATCACATTTCTGCTTATATTCATTATTATTATTAGGGGAGTGCCATTTATTATGTAAGTTTTTAGGGGAGGGGTCAGCAATATACCACGTTTAAATATTGAATATAAATGTTATTATTGGCTGCTGATTTATCATCTGAGGGACTTCTAATAAAAGAAATTACGTAATAAACGGCATACCCTTATTATATGCGAATAAGACAAGAACAATTATAGTGGATTCTAAATTATTGGCCGAGTATATTGCTTTGGGATTTAGGTTGCCTTAAGATAGGTTTATTCATAACGCAACACATTACAACCGCAAAAAAATTTTCTTTAAATTTTAAATGATTTTTATTTCTGCAATTGTGTTTAACATTATCTAGTATCAAATTTAGAACCAACTTATGCTGCGTTTAGATTTTGTATCGATTCGGGTTACATTTGGAATTCCACATCGACCTAATATCATAAATTTACAATAATTCTATTCCAACATATAACATATTATTAAGATATACATTTACTCGAATTAAAATTTTTAACAATCAATTTACTAGACTGTTAAAAGTATAGCTACTTTAAGAGCGAAATTTTGCAAACAATATTAATATGCAGATAGATAGTTTCAATATTAATATGACTAGTTAAAAGCTAGTTCGATTTCATTAAGCCTCTTGATTTATATACTGAACCTTTTAGAAATCAGGCCCCTAATCATTATATATGAACCAAACTTCAGGTCGATTAATTTGGCTTTTGAAGCCGAATCAAATCGAATAGACTTTTAACATCAACACTCCTGACTTTGAAACTGAAAAATTTTGAAGATTGACAACAATACGTTATCAGGGAATAGACCTATGTTAGAAACTAATGCAGCAGCTTATTTTGTTCATTTGCAAACCCAAATCTAATTTTTATTGTTTTTCTTTAGCATAATATAAAACCAGTTGTATTAACAAATTTAAATTTAATATAAGCAATTCCTTAAGCTCAAAAAAAATCTTACCTGTGTATTAGCTCTTTTTACAAATATAATAAATTTCAGAGCAAGTTTGGGAGCAGTCCAAGGCAGGAATGGTAAATGACATGAAATGATCCAAATGACAAATGATCAGTCATTTGTCATTTCAAAACTCAAATGACTTTAGAAGGTCATTTGACATTGTTGATTAATAATCTAATGCTTTTTAACCAATTAAAATTGATTATTTTACAAAAATAAAATATAATTAATAATTATAATTACATATAAAAGTTAATATTTTACTAAGTTAATTGATATTTATATCTTAAGTAAAGTTGTTTAGAAGAATAAATTACATATATTTTAAAAATTTTATCTAATTATAAGAATTTTTATTTTTATTTATTTTTTTTATTTATTTTTTTTCTCTTAAGCAATCACAATAGTACTTTATTAAACCATTTGTAGCTTCATATGTAAATACACAAAATATCATTTAAATTATAAGTCTACCATCATCTGATCACCCAAATGGTACTTAAATATAATCTGTCACACTCTGATACTATATCTAAACATAATCTATAATTTATTTTTTGTTCTTATATTTATTCTCAGTTCTCTTGTTTTTAATATTATCTAACAAGTCAAGTTGTGTTTTCTGATATTTTTCTTAGTTTTTATATGTCTTTTATTAAATTTGTTTTTTGGCAGTCTTAATTATTCTTAATTTTATTAGTTATTCAAGAATGATTCATCTGTTTAATCTTGCTAGTAAATTATCTATTTGTTTTATTATTAACTCTTGTTATGGTATTTTATAGTTGCTAAAATCTTTGTGTTCTACTATACAATTTTTTAGTATTCTTTACAAGTTACTTTTTTGTTTTATCAAACATATTATTGGCTAGTATATTTTATTTATTCTTTTTTCTAATATCTTTATTAATTATAGCATATGGAGTAAAACTTTTTTAATTTTTAAATTTAAATAACTTAACAACTATTTAATTAAATCTGCTTGAAATTATATATAATTAAAATAAAAAAATTTATCAAATTTAATAAAATAATTGTTAAGCTATTTAAGCTTAAAGTTAAAAAATTTTTACTTAGAAAAAATTTGTTTCTTTTCTATTGACTTTCCTCTATATAACTTAATTATAGTATTATTATTATTATATTGTTTATATGTATAATCTGACTTATTATTATTTTTTTGTATCTAAGCTTCCTTATTATCTGACTTATTATATCTTTTACTTTTTTTTTAATTAGTATTTCATGTATTCTGTTGTTTAACTATATTCTTAGTAAATAAACTATCTTATTTTTTTTCTTTTATTATCTTGCTTCTTTCAAATACTATTTTTTTTCTGATTTTTGTATTTATTATTAATAATTTTAATTTAAATCTATTATTTTTTTATTATTTATTTAAAAAACTCTTTATCTATTATCAAAATCTCTAGTATTTACATTTTGTTAATTACAATTTGTATTTTATTATCTTTATATACAATTACTGCTTGGTAATATCTTGTAATATTATTATATTATATTTTTTCTTTAGTTATTGTTTAATTATATAATTTAAATTTTTATCTTCTAGTATTCTTTTTAATAATAGGTTATAAAAAAGATGTCTATTAATAAATTTTTTTTTTTCTTTTTTGCTCTTAAGCAGCCACGCTAGTACTTTATTAAGATTCTTGTAACTATATACAATAACTATATAGAATTTCCCTAATAACTAAGTCCAGCATCACCCGGCCACCTTATTGGTACCTAAGTGCGACCTGCTGCACTACCTCAATCAGAG